GGGGTGGGGGGGGTCACAGGACAGTCCTGGGGGACTTCTCCCAGCTCTGTGCTAGGGGAAGCTCCCTATGGTGCTTGGAAGATCATGCAATCCAGGCATCAACTGGGCCTCCCTCCCACGTGCAGTGCCTGCACTCAGCCCTTTGAGTCCTCTCTCTCTCTCTCTCTCTCTCTCTCTCTGTGTTTTCCAAGCATTTTAATGCCTGCAGGATGGGGCATTGGTCAGCAGACCGGAAGTGAGGACCAGGGGCTAGAGCTGTCCCTCCTTCTCTGCCTACTGCTCCTCCATCTCAGATACTCACACCCCCCACTCAAAGCTGCCTGCCCTATGCTGTACCACGTGACACCTGCCACGTGCATCTGCCTCCCCAGCTGGCCAGACTTGACCCCAAATGAGCCAATCCATAAAGCTTGGGCAAGTGACCTTTTGCGGCTTGGATCAGCCAATGAGCAGGGTCCATCTGAGTGTCTCCAGGAACGGGAACTGAGACTCCTTTGGTTCCTGGCAGCTGGGAAAGAGGGGGACCACACATTGAGGGATGAGGTCATGTGAAAGGCAACCCTCCCAAGGAATGTCCAAAATGTCACCTCTCAGGTCCTTGGAGCTGCCCCTGATGTCTCACACCCCCCTTGCATAAAAGCCCCCCTCATCACCGTTGCTCTGAAAGCCCAGTGGGTGGGTCAGGCCATGACCCATGACCCAATTCTTAAAGCTCTTCTTGGTGGTGAATGTGATCGCTGCTGGTTCTTTCCCAGACGTGGGCAATGTGAGTGTGAGTGCAAGTCGGGTCCTGCGGTCCTGTTCAATGTTCTGCTTCCAGCTCCTGCCCTGGGTGGTGGGGATCGGGAAGGAGCCCACCCTGACCTGCAGGAGACCCTCTTCAGCAGCCCCTTCCCAGAGGCCCCTCGGCACCACCTAGTCCAGTGGGCTCCCGGGAGACACAAGCCCAAGGCAGTGAGACTGGCTTAGCCCTTACAAGCATCTGGTTTTGTGCTTCTCTGGGGCCACAAGTTTAAAATTTAAAAAAAGGAGGAAATTCTTTCCAAGTGGCCGGTGCACATAGGTCCCCCTGGGGGTGTAAGAACTGGAATAGAAACAGGGTCAGGGGAGCACTGAGGAACCAGAGTGGTGGGGTCACTGAGGGAGGGTGGCCAGGTCCAAACCTTTCCCCAGGGCCTGCCAGTGCCCTCAGGAGGGCCAGAGGGCATGGCAGGACAGAGGGGCCGGGCTCCCAGGTGGGCAGGTTGGGCAGTGCTGAGGCAGGAATTCCTGCAGATGGCCAGGGCACAGCTGCCTCCTTTGCAGGGCCAGGTGTGGCTCAAATCCCTTCAGAATGTGTGAGACCAACCAGGATGGTTGAAAGAGGGTGACGCATTAGTGGTGGTAGAGAATGGGCACTGGTGTAGGGATGGGTACTTGATCATTGTATAACTGAAACCCAAGCACAAAAATTTGTAAGTCTACAACTGTACCTCATGGTGTTTCACTAATAAAAATTAAAAAGAAAAAGAAAAAAGGAGGAGGGTGACGCTGCGTCAGCCCCCAGGTGGGCAACGGGTGGGGACACACTTTCCAGGGATGGGTCTGCAGGCCAACTCCATAGAGCCAGTATTTAAAGACACTCAGGTCCCTGGGACAGATGTCTCTCCTAGGGGCACAGAGCTGCTCCAGCGCTGGGGGTGCCCCACGATGACCTGTGCCAGCCAAGCTGCCCAGGGCAGCTGGGTTCCGAGCTGGGGTTCCAGCAGGAGGACTTGGGGAGACGGGGGAAGGGAGGGTGGGCAGCAGCTCCCACCCAGTGGTCCTGAAGTACCCAGGTGGAGTAGGGAAGAGGTCATTAGTATTGCCTGTGGGGTGTCTGGGGGTCAGCCCCCAGGGGCAGATGGACATCCACATCTGGAACAACCATCAATCCCTGGGGAGCCATTTAAGTCCAAGAGGCCGTGGAGTTGATAAGATTTTTGAAGCAAAGTGAGAGAGAGCAGACAGCGGGGAGGGGCCATTTAATGGCTGAGGGGAGCCCTGTGTGGTCCAGCATTGGGGAGACCCCAGGGCAGGGCTCAGGCAGGAAGTGAACCAGAGGGGCCCCAGTGGGAGTTTCTGCGGGGGAAACGAAAGGTCCCAGGTGACTTGTAAAAGAGACCTTGGGGGATGTAGTGGACAGAGGTCCCAGAAAGAGTGTGGGAATCCAGGCAGGGTGCGTGGCAGGGGCCCAGCTGGGAGGAGGGGGCGGAGCAGGAAGCCGGCTTTCTAAGGATGCCGGGTGGGCAGTTGGGCCAATGCCAGTCAGTGCTTTCGCCGCTTGTTTCTGGTTCCATTTCATCTAGGATTATCCCATGTCCACTATGGACACAGCACCCCATCCGGAAGAGCCTGCAGCCTCTGGAGGAATTTCCCAGGGAGGCTGTATTAGCCATGGAGGCCACTAGGGGGCGCTTTCTGTTCGTTCACTTTAAGGAGGAAGATTTCCAAGGGGTGGTAGGGAAGTAAGCCTGGGAACCTCTGGGTAACGGAAATGCTCTCATTTGGACGGGAGCTGAATCCTCTCCTCTGCCCGCCTTGCACAACGACCGCATTTCTGTATGACTTGCAGGAAGAGTTTCGAATCAGATGACTGGGCTGGAGGCTGGGGCACCTGAGGACCCCAGAAGTGGTGCCCTGAATACACGTATCCCAGATGTCCCCAAAACATTTGCAAGAGGCCCCCGCATGCAGGACTGAGCCTTCTTTCTGCCGTACTGCCCGCAGCCCAGCTGCCCGGTCCCACTGTCTTGAGACCAAGGTCAGCAACTTGGTGCTTCATGGTCAACCATCAGAACCAGGTCCCGAATTCTCGTGCTGCCTCAGAGCTTGTCTGGGGGCTTCTGAACCCATTCCCCACTCCCAAAGGCCCCCCCCCCCCTTCTCAAATAGAGAGGACAGAGAAGGTGATCATGTGCACGGGTCCCTGGAGGCAGGAGACCAACGGGCTGGGGTTTGATCAGACACACTTTGCAGTCTGACGTTAGGCCCTCAACCCACTGTTCTCTAGGAGGGAGGTGCCCCATAACCTTTTTTTTTTTTATGGGAGGCGTTGGTGGCTTGGGCCATATTCTGAGGATCCCCGTGACTATCTGGTGCTGGGGATTGAAATCAAGGCTGTTGGGATGCATGTCCAATGCCCAACCCCCATGCTACGTCTCCAGCCTGCTTTCCTAGGAAGGCAGCGTCCTCTCAGCCCTACTGTGCACCTCTATGAACTCAGCTCTGCATGCACCTGCAAGCCTATGTCCACCTCCCTCAGAGGCCCTCTGCAAGTGGAGCTGCCCGCTGTGGAGCCCCCAAACTAGCCAATATGCACAGCTCAGACACCTGGGTATGTCCAGAGAGGAGTATCTGCCCAAAGTCCCATGCCTCTGTGAGAGTCAGCGAGGGATGTGGCCCAGCATCTCAGCCTCAGGATGGCCGAAGACCTACAAATCAGGGCCCTGCTTGGGGTGTATGGCGTGTCCCCAGCACCAGCCAGAACCAGCCCTTGCAATGTCTTGGGGGATGACAAGCTTGAGCCCAGCACCTGCTGGAAGCCCATGGTGTCCACTCCCAAGCCCTGCCACTGGTTGTCTTTTTAATGCTCTCAAGGTGAGGGCTGTCAGAAACAGCAGTGACTTTCGAATTTTCTGACCCCTTGGTGTCAGGAGAAAACATCTGTCCCAAACTCTCAGCCCATGTTGGCCTCAGTAGCTGGCTCTGGTTTCCGTTTCAGAACACCTCCTCCAGGCCCACTGGGCCACCAGCATCTTTCCCAAGCCGGTTGGAGGGACACAATGACATCTTGTCAAGCCCAGGACTTCAATGTCAGCAATCTAATGGGAGCATTTCAAGGGCTGGACGCGCTTTTACTCAAAGCGAGCAAGCATGCCTCCTAGGTGAAGGGGCATGTGTGTGTCTCTCTCACTGACCACCTGATTCCTTGGGCAGGCGTCATTTCTTTCCTATGTTGTTTCACCCATTTCACCAAAGGTGTCTGCCTTTCTCACTGAGGCGCTCGGAGCATAACAGGTTGATCTGGGGATGGACAAAGCAGGGGGGGGGGGGAAAGAAAGAAAACTTGTGCTTACGATGACCATGTGGTTCCCAAGATGAATCACATACATTTTCAAAGCCAAGAAAACCTCCTAGGCCTTCGCTCATGCTAAATGTCCCAAGATCAGCAGCCATCAATGAAGAGAGTTCAGTGGAAACTAAAACGGTGAACACAAACCCACTCACTCCTTTTGTGGGCCTTTAGTACTTGGACGGAATTGGGGGGGGGGGGGTCTTAATGGGTTATAAACTAAAGAGGAATGGTTTGCAGTCTGGACAAAATAGAAGAACTCTTCTCAATAAATATGTCCCAGAATGACAAAGCTCTTCCTACTGATGGAGAAGCCACGGGCATAGCCGAAGGAGCTATGTACAGTGTAAACAGTAAGGCCCTGGGGGGCGAGGGGCGGGTGGGAGTAAGAGGGGCCAGGTGAGGGGGTGTGCAGGAGGAACCTGAGCAGGGCAGAGTGGGCCTAGGGGGGGTACATCAGGCTTGTGGGACTGACACCCCAAAAGCTGGGGTGGGGGCCCTCTGGGTCCTCCCCTAGGCAGTAAGGAGAAACCGTGTCCACGGAGGCAAGGGGTGAATGGACTGACTCCTAAAGGGGAACCCTGGGGGACAGCCCGGGCAGCCACCAGGGCTCATGGATGGATCAATGTGTCTCAAACAGGGACAAGAGCAAATGCTCCCGTGGAGCAAAGCCCCAGATTTGGGGTGAGGTCCCCATGTCCTGGATGGGATCCTTTACTCTTCCCTCTAGCCCTGACCCGGTCCTTAGGGATGTCCGTGACCCCAGATCCAGTTCCTGATCACTTGCGACCCCTCTCACAGCCCCCCCATGGGGCTCATCATGTGGAGCAAAGTCTTCCTCCCCTTGTTCCCCACACCCCCTAATCTCCCATCTTCTCCCTCCCCGCGCCCCTCGCGCACTCGGGGGCTCCGGTCCTTAGATATCCGTCTCCCTGAGGTTGCTGTAGTCTGCCAAGTCGCAGGGGGCGCCTCCAGTGCCGTCCTGGGGGACACCCAAGGACACGGCCTCCACCTCAGGGCGCTCTGAGCGCGGCGCGGCGCTCCCGGGGCGGAGCTTGTGCGACAGGCTGGACACCTTGGCGCGCAGCTGGGTGGTGGGTCTCCGCCAGGGCCCGAGCAGCCGCCACTCGCGGAAGGTGCAGGGGGGCTTGCGCCGGCTGGCGGCGCCGTCGGGGGAGGCAGGGGCGGACGGCGGCGCGACCAGGGCCAGCGGGGCTCCGGGGGGTGCGGCGGCCGGGCCGGGGTAGTCGCCGCCTTCACCGTCGTCGTCGGGCTGCGCGCCCACGGCGGGGGTGGCCGTGCTGGAGGCCCGCCAGTGGTGGCCGTAGACGCGCCACAGGGGCCGGCGGCGCCGGCGCCGGCGACACTGGCAGCGCAGGAGGCGCAGGAAGGCGCGTTTGAACTCGCGGCTGGAGCAGGGGTAGATGAGCGGGTTCACGCAGCTGTTGAAGTAGCCGAGCCAGAAGATGACCTTGAAGACGCCCTCCGACGGCTTCAGATGCGGGAACAGCGAGCCTGCAAGGAGCAGAGACCCAGGCAGGTGAGTGCCCCGGGGAAGGAGGTGCGCGCCCTCCCCACGGGATCACCAAGAGGGATGTCTCTGCCCAGATGGATGGAGGGGGTGGCGGGAGTCTGGTAGGTTCAGGGGCTCCATGCGTACGGATGGGCGGGTGTCCTTTTCCAAGCCCTGAACAGAGCATTTCCCACCAATGGCAGCCAGCCAGAATAGAATGTGATGAAACCAGGTGAAATCGCCACGAGGGACTGGAGAGAGAGTACGGCAGGTAAGCTCTTGCCTTGCGTGGAGCCAACCCAGGTTTAATCCCGGGCACCCCATATGGTCTCCTGAGCATCACTGAGGTCACTCCTGAGCACAGAGCCAGGAGCAGCACCTGGGTATTCTCTCTCTCTCTCTCTCTCTCTCTCTCTCTCTCTCTCTCTTTCTCCCCTCTCTGTCACTCATTCTCTCTGTCTCTCTGTCTCTCACTGTCTCTCTGTTTCTCTCTCACAGTCTCTCTTCTCTCTGTCTCCGTCTCTCTGTCTCTGTCTCTCTGTCTCTCTCTGTCTCTCTGTCTCTCTCTCTCTCTCTCTCACACACACACACACACACACACACACACACACACACTTTGAAATATTGTCCCTGGAGTTGAGGAGATACCTCAGTGATCAGGGTGATCTGCGGCGCCCAGTTCCACCCTAGCACCAAATCGCACCCCAGCACTGCTGTGTGTAACCCTGATGATCCCTGGTATCTCTATACTAGCATCGACTCCCAGGTTAGGTGTGGAAGGCTAGGACAGAGTGGTCCCAGGACTCCCTGAGCACTGCCTGGGAGCCCCCACTCTAAAAAAAATATTGTTTCTACTGCTGTTTGGAAATGATCACCATCAAGAACACATCTGCTTAATTAATGCCTGAACGTAGATGCATATTTAGTACCACGTCCCACATTTTCATTGAAAAATATTTCGTTGTCAGGGCCGAAGAGGTAGTACAGTGGTAAAGCATTTGCCTTGCACGCAGTCGACCTGGGTTCAATCCCCGGATTCCCATATGGTCCCCTCAGCACCACCAGGAATAATTCCTGAGTGCAGAGCAAGGAGTAACCCCTGAGCATTGTCAAGTGTGACTCCAAAACCAGAACAGAATTTTTTGTTGGTCGGAGAGACAGTATGGGGGTTAGAGTGCATGCCTTGTGTGGAGCTGTTTGATCCCTCCAGCCCAGCACCAGCACCAGCACCACTACATGGTCCCTAGAGCATTGCAAGGTGCAGCCCTGGAGGTTCCCCTGGAGGCTCCCCATGCTTTGCCCCCTGCACCCCCCTCCCCAGCACCGCCAGAGTAGCCAGAGTGATGCCCGGTGCTGTAGGGTCTGTCATAAAAAGAGGACCTTGCATTGAACTGTTGACCCAGCAGGCTAGAAACCACTAGGACAGCCCTTTGGAACCCCTGAGCACTGCTTGTGCGACTCAAAAAAAAGACCTTTGGACACAGTTTTCAGTGAAATTCATTTTCCTGGCGACCCTCTGTGCTTGAATGCATTTGGAAACCTGACTCTGAGAAGGGGTCTGTGGACTTCTGCAGATGCCAAGCAGGCCTGGAGTGAGATCTCTGAATCAGACGCTGGCAGGGCTTGCGCCAGGCACTGGTCCAGCTCCCAGCACTCATGGCCTGGCTCCTTTGGTGGCCATGGGGGCTTAAGTCTCCAGGAAGTCAGCAAGAACACGTGAGCGTTAGCAGTGGCAGGGACAAATGGGCAAGAGGACAGCAGCTTGAGGCCTGGGCTGGCCCCTGTGGGGTACACTCAGAAACCTGCAGAAAGAAAATTCCATAAGGGCCAGGATCACTGTCAGGTTCTCGATGCTAGTGCCCAGGAGGGCATTCGGGAGCTCCCTGAAGTGTTGGCAGTCTCTGCTTCCATTCTGTGGGAGGTGGGAGCCATAGGCAGTGGTCAGCGGAGGAGGAGAATGCAAAGCCCCATGAACAGAAAGCCCGAGGCTGCAGGGATGCCTGGTTGCACCCATCTCCAGAGAAAGTGGTCCAGGCTTCCAGGATGGCTGGAGGGAGCAACCAGGGAGGTGGGGATGGTCAGCAGCATTGGAGTGGGAGCTGTGCCAGGAAGCTCCCCCCGCCCCAACCTGCCAGACCCTCTTCCCTGGCACCCCCACCGTGGACCTGAAATGGTATGTTCTGTTGCTTCTGACATGACTCAAAAGCATGATCCAGGCAGCAAAGGCCTCACTTTCAGCCTGTCATCCTTGGGCAGAGGACAGAATGGAGGTCAGAGGGCACAGGGCAGAGGACTAGTGGATCCTGTCTGGGTAGAAGCTGCAGGTGCCTAGGAGGTAGGGGTCCCGGACAAATCACAAACTCTTCTCTTTCCCAAAGCCCCCAAGGATAGGGCAGTAGTGTCCCCCTCGTGAAGGACACCATTGTCCCCTCTTTGCTCTGGGGGACCATGCCTGTGCCCCTCCCACCACATCAGAATTCCTGTCTAAGAGGATCAGGCAGCAGCGTCGCCCAGCCTACGCCTCTCCAGCCTCACCGTGCAGCCCTGGGCAAAATCTTGGCTCCAGAACATTTTGCTTCCCTCTGCTGTGGGCTGCAGATAACACTCTCGGGGGGAAGATTCCTCCATCTCAGAGCCCAGCTCGCAGCCCGGGCTCCTGATTTCTGGCAAAATTTTCACCTCCCCTTTCTTCCTCTATTGCTTTGGAGAGAAACTTCAGTCCGGGGAAGGGACCCAGCTTCCTTTCCGGCCCCGAAACAAAGGCTGAGACCTGGGGAGTTTGGGGACTGGGGTACAGGGCATCAATCCGGGTGTGTGGAGGAGACCATGTCCCCTGGGCGAGGCGCTGGGCAGATGTCCCTGGAATGCAGGGGTCACCAGAGCTGACCTCAAGACTCCAAGGTGGTGCCCCACCAGCATTCCTGCACACTGCACTGTGTGAAGGAAGATGGAGCGCTGAAAATAACTCTGACTCAGGACACGGCTCTCTTATATTTAGCCCGGGATGACAAATCCGTGGACTATGCTTTCAGCAGCGAGCCTGAAGCCGGCCAAAGGGCATGGCTATCAGTGTGGCTCGCACGGCCATCGGGGGGCCGCGGGCGTGGATGCTTGTGAGGCAGCCCAGCCTGGCTGTAAACATTCGCCTTCTCCTTTATGCTCAGGCAAGCCTGCTTGCTGCCGGCAGGGGATTCCTTCACACCAAGTTGCTGGGGCTCACACGGCCTGTCAACGCCCAGGTTTTGTAGTTGCCTTGGAGCTGAGGCTTCCTTTGGATTCTCCCAGAAGCTGACCCAAGGCAGGGACTCGTGGAAGTTGAAAATCTGGGGTGGGGGTGGGGGTAAAGGACATACTAAAAGTGGAGACGAGGGGCAGGGGGAGACGGGGGGGGGAGAGAGAGAGAGAGAGAGAGAGAGAGAGAGAGAGAGAGAGAGAGAGAGAGAGAGAGAGGAAAAGCCAAAAAGGAGACATCCAGTTGATTATCACTTCGGGACAATTCTACTAGGAGCTCTGGGACATGGAGATGGTGGAGAACAGGGAACTCAGAGTTACTTGTAGGGAACTACGAGGGAAGTGGGGGCAACTAGACCCCCATCACCATCTGTCATGGGCTGCACTGCTCCTTCTGGGTATGGTTTTTATGCACTTGCCCCGCCCCCACACTTTATTTAAACACCGTGGTTTACAAAGTTATTCACGATGACTTGCTACAGGCATTAAATATGCCAACCCCAATTCCACCACCACTGTCATCTTCCCTCCACCATTGTCTCCGTTTTCCCAACCGCCCCTCAAGCCCGCCCCCCTAGCAGGCCCACAGTAATTTATTTTATATTACTTGTTACCACTGAATGACTAATGGAATGATGGGAAAGTATTTCCGAGAAGAAAATTTGTGAAAATTGTATCTTGCCATGGGGACATTAAGTCCTTGGCCTGAGGGTTTTACTAAGCTGTCGTTACAAGTTGAACCTTCTGTGTGAATGTTTTCATTAGTGTGATTGGTTGGTTGCTGCTGTTACATCCCATCTAATCTGCTGTGCTGCTACTGGGTTGTCAGTGATGAAAAGCCACTCCAGAGGATTTTCTGCACTTTTGGCCTGTTCCACGGGAGGACAATGGAGATTTGCGGGCTCTGGTGCTGGTGGAATCCGAGTTTCCAGGGGAGGGTGATGTAGGCAGGATCTCTGGCAACTTTTTTTAAACTGCTCTTTGCCCCAGGGACACAGACAGCTGGCCCAGACAGTACAGATAGATGTCTATGCCTTGGGCTCCAGCCTCCCATGAGCCCCCCAACTTCCCCTCACAGGTGGTGACTCAAGGCGTCACACTCATCTCTACAGTCTACTCCCTGACCTTCCTATGTCCTTCATGGCCTTTCCTGCTGCACTCAACACCCCACATTCTCCAATATGTCCACTGCCTCCTGCAAGGACCTGTGGGGCGTGGGGAGGGGGAGAAAGGAAGGGGGCGCATGGGCCCACCCTCCCCTTTGCATGCCGCAGGTGAAACTGATTTGCTCCAAGACCCCTGAGGCTGGCCCTTGACTCATGGGCATTAGCTTTGCCATGCGGCCTGATGTGGGTATATCAGTGGTGGAGCCCCTTCTCAGATCCTCCCCTGATAATATAACTCTGGGTTGTGACTACTCAGGTTGACCAGTTGCCTCTCCTGCCTCCTTATCCCTCTCCAGTTGCCTGATATAAGCTTTTGTCAGGACCCGCAGACCTGCAGCCCTGCTCCAGGAAAGTCTTAATGGCAGCTGGGGAGTCTGAGCCAAGACCTCTCTCTCTCTCTCTCTCTCTCTCTCTCTCTCTCTCTCTCTCTCTCTCTCTCACACACACACACACACACACATACACACACAATTGGGCAGCCACCTTCTCTGCCCTGAGCTGGCACTCGCCCCCACACTCCTCTGTCTACTGCCTTTCTTGCAGATATAAAGCCCAGCCAGGCTGACTCATCTTGGCAGCTGTCACTGGAGCCAGATCTTGGTAAG